TCTTATCTGAGGATAAGCTCGACAAAAATGTGGCACTATTTGGTAGGGATCGGGTGGTGGGGTGGGGGTACAAAGGTTATATGGGTGGGTGGTTGCCACAAATGTTTGTCCATGTGCACCACAGGAAACCCAATATCTGGAAAGCTTGGACAGAGGGGGCCACGCGCTGTTTTTCATCCAATGCCGCTTCCTTCTATTTTTCGCACAATATTTTCTGTACTTTTTTGTTGATGGCATTCATTGTTTGTTATGGCTGGCTTTTGTTGCAGCAAAACGCTGCAATGTTGAACTATGAATGCAATTTCGTAAATTATTTTCCTTTTAAGTAATTATTAAGGTGTGGTCGGATGAGGAGTCGCCATCGGACCCCGACTGTACCGTCTATCCAATGGCTATCAAAATACACACAGACACACACAAAAGTAGTGACTTTGCCATTGTCTTTGAACAGTGTCTTTCCTTCGGGTTACTTTTACTCTTCTGAAGAGTACAGTACAGTGCCAGGATATGTTGTCCGAAAATGCTTAAACTGTTGGCAATCATTAATATGTCCTTCGATCATCAGTAATTTGGTCCACGCCTTATCCGTTTATTCTTCGAAGAAGAAGTACTTCTCAAACAAAATTTAGCTGATTTGATTTTGAAGGGTATTTTGAGCATCGGCTTTCCATTTTCGTTGTCTTTGCCTTTGCCATTGTTTTTTGCATTTGTTGTTACTGTTTTGTTGCATTTGTTTGTTATTTTTTGTCAAGTTATTCATCCATTATACGCCATTTAACTAATAACACGGCTTGGAGGCAGCCTGCCGCTGCTGGCACCCTGACTCGTGGCTCGTCACTCACTCTAGCGGCAGTCAGTCAGTCACTCAGCTAGTCAATCATCTATTGGAGCCACTGGAGTCCAACGTTGTTCATTTGTGCACATCCTTTCCATCAATGTCATAATAAATAACACCCGCAGCACCTTTCAGTGGATAGGATATTAAATGCCACGAACAAACCCTAAATTATTTGCAATTGTTGGAAAATATTGGCTCAAAACGTAGCCGCTGGCCGCTTGCCACTTGCCACTTGGCTACCTGCAACCCGATTATGGGGCGACATTAAAACTAAAACTAATTTCAATAATTAGTTGGCTCTTTTGATGGTAATCGAAGCAAGAAAGGAGGGACAGATCGGCTTGGCTCGGCTCTGTGTGGCACACGACAAAAGTTGTGGCAAAATCAGGGAAAAGCTGGAGCATTTTCCTAACAACAATCAACAAATCGCCACTTTGGCCCCGACAACAACATGAATGGCAAATTGGCAACACCAACACCAGGCAATGGCTACAAATTTGCTGTAATACAACAACAATTACATTAAAACGCGACCATAAACGTGCAGACCAGGTCCAAAGACGAAGCCAAAGTCTGGCTTAGACCACAAAATAAAGTTTGAGGCCGAAACGCTGACTGCGGCTGCGGCTGCGGCTGGGCTGTGACTGCGGCAGAGGCGCTACTAAAGCCATTCCACACCTTGTAAAATCAACAGAAAAAGCCGGCCCAGAAGAAGCAGAAGACTTGAAAGATACAGTGCAAAAGACAGATAGAGAGAGAGGGGCAAAAAGATAGAGATAGAGACAGGGCGAAAGCAAAATATAGAGGATGCAGCATGGAAGGGCAGAAGGCAGACCAAGATACAGATGGCTAGAAAAAGAGAGGTTTCATACAGATAGAGAAAGAGATAGAGAGAGAGGTTGCGGCGTGCAATTTGCAGCCTAGAAAAATAATTGCATGTGGAAGTTGCAGGGGGGGAGGCAAAGTCGCGTCGAGTCGCGTCTCATTCATGACGACGACGACGACGCTGCAAGTGCAAGTGCAGCTGTAACATTAACATGCAACCAGACGACGCAGCCACTGCCACTACTGCTGCTGCTGCTGCTGCTGAGATGCAGATGCATTCAACGTCATTGTTGTTGTTGCTGCAACTGCAGCAGGCAAGCAGGCAGCAGGTGAATTGCACGATTTTCAATGCAAAAGTCAAGAGCGCCAACGGAAAAAAGTCGTTAGCCAAGTTTTATGCATAGGCCCGGGCCATGTAACTATTTAGCCAGCTTTTGTTGCTGCTGCTGGCTAGAACTGTGGCACCCGGCGGGTGCATGTGGCAAAGAACTCCTTGTACACTTAGCGAAATACGAATCTCTAGAAACCGGAAACTGGAGCAATCAAACATTAAAGGAAAACTAAAGGATCTTCATATTCCGGTCATGGGAAATAATTTCGGAGGTTCCAACATTGGGCAGTCTCTTTTCCCTCAGTGCATGCCCTAGCTCGTGGTGGAAGGAAACAGAAGGTCTGACCAGGCAGTCAGTCACTCGGAGAGCCTGCTGCCATCGAAGCAGAGTGGTAGCAGCTTCCTTTTGGCAGCCCCAGAACCAGAACCAGCTCCAAATCGACACACGTTTCGTGCCGCCGCTCGTTTGCCGCATATGCAGATGGACGCAGCCTGCAGCCATGGCCCTGGCAGCCTAGACCCAATCCCGAGACCCGAGACCAGAGACAGCTGTTTCCGTTTGTTAAATGTTTGCTGTGTCCGTCCGTCCCAAATGATTGGCAAGAGATTGCCACCGAAGACATTGATGTTTGTAAATTTGTTTTGGCATTAAATGTGTCTTGTGTCGTCTTGTTCCCCCGTGCAACATGTCAACTAATTACGATCCACGGTCAGCAGACATACAGTGCGTTCCAGGACCATAAAATGTGATAAGATAGACAGGGTTTAAGGCGATATAATTCATGCAAATGAGTTCAGGGATAAAGACTAATTTCTGCAGCAGATTTTGATCTTTCCTTCAGTATATAGTTCCCTAAAAGTAAAGCATATCATAAATGCTGGTAATAACGTGTGTGGCCAGCGCCTGGCGTTCTTCCAGCCACTCTTCCGCCTCTCTGTCACTGCTTCTTTTTAGCCAACAGTCAGCAGATTTTTCGTTTATTTTTGTGGGGTTTTTCGCTCGTTTTCGTTGTTTCATTTCTCTTTTTTTTTTTGTTAATAAGCGTATTTAATGTTCACACATTTGTCACGACGCTGTTTGCCGTTGCCGTTTCTGTTGTATCTTCAGTTACTGTTTACAACACCTTTTATAGTGCCGGTTTGGCATTGCCTGTGTGTATGTGTGTGGGGCTGTTATCTTTTGGGGCAAAATGGTAAACACTTTTCGAGTGTCCCATTATCTAATTTGTCGGCTCGAAAACAGCTGCAAACGAAATTTGATCATCGTTGAATGGGATTTTCGCGATATTTTAATAAGTTCAGGTAGCGCAGCGACAAATGCTTCCTCACCCAAAAAATATACACAAATGAATGGCAAAGAAAGGAAGGCAATGATTAATCATAAAGAACCTGAGTCAGACCGATGAAAAATGATACAAAGAACAACAAGTAATACTCGTAATTTCAAAATCGAATTGATTTCTGTTTTTTTTTTTTGTTGCAGTTTTCTTTCCCTCCCCTAAGAATATAATATATGGTTTTTACGACTCTCTGTAGAGTCCCGTCCCCAACACAATGGCCGCCGCCACAAAATGTTATCAGCATTCAACTATGTTGTGCAAAGAAAAACTATATATAAAATGTACATACTCGTATATGGAAATGGCGATAATTTGAAGTACATTAATGATGTAGAATGGACCACACCACACAATTTTACGAATCTACATGTAGAACTTTTGATAGAGTTCTATATATAATGCAACCATTTCCACACTTTGTTCGTAATTTTCGTTTCGTGGCGACAAAATAAAATTTTTTGTCAGCAACGAAATAAAATCAATTTCGTATGCCTCTCTCTCGCTCTCTTGATAAGAAAAGCGCAAAATGTTTCCGCTTTTTTTTGTTTTTGTATTTGTGCGATTGCATGACATGCCATAAGAATATATATATTGTACATACAATTATATATATTTTTTGTTCAATCATTTCTTGCTTAAATTTTTGTGTTGGATTTTGCAAGATTTCGCCACGTATCAGGCCAGGCGGCGGGGCGAGCCAAAGTTTTTTTTTTTCGCAATTTGGGTCAGAATAAGCGAACGTCAGTCAGGGACTGGCTGATAAGAAGTGTGTTGCCTCAACAGAGATTGCCACGATTATGGACGTTGTTCCGAATCTAATCGAGAACTATCTCCCCACGGCGAAACGTAGAGAAATGTTGAGAAATGTACAGGTTTTATGGCTTCCGCTTTATGATTGGCGATCGGAGATTTGGCCGCGAAGAGTCGCCAGATTCTGAATGAATGTTAAATGAATGGTAATGCAAGCAAAATTATCTGTAATTTTATCTTTAAAAGTATTTTCGGAAGTAAATGTAAAGAAAGTCTGCAAACATCTCCAAAAATGCATATACAGAAGTATCTGCAAAAGTATTTCTAAACGTGTCTATGGAAGTAGCTGTTTAAGTATTTGTAAAAGTATCTGTAAAATTATCTGTAGCTGTATGCTTGTCCATACTCGACAGTTGCTTGAACTTCTGTCCTTAAGTATTGCTCAATGTAATTGTCATTGCGGCGATCGCATTGTGACGCCTCTGATAGCGACACCCGCTCCCAAAACCATTCCCCTGGCCTTCACAGTGCCCTGCCACTTCTCGCCCCTTTGTGCAGCCATTGTGTGTCTTTTGTTTACACATTTCGCTTTCGTACATATACATATGCATGTACGTCAGGCTCTCTGACTGAAGGACAATGTCAATGAGGCATAAGCATGAATTTTTTACTGTTCATGAACGTTTTGGCGGTTTACACGGCGACCGATAAGCGAGAGCCAGTGAAGGTCTTCAGAAAGCTCGTCTATAGAAAGTGATGATAGTGTGATTTAAGAGCGGAATCGGGATTCCCAAGTAAAACAGTAACTCTCTGATATTCTATTATATAACGATCTTCCAGATATTCTTATAATTAATTATAACATTAATTTTTATTTATTTGGTAGACGGTTCTGGGCGGTGGGGTGGATACGTACATATTTCATAGCTGCTGATGTGCATAGCATCACATACATTTGTCTTGAATTACGGTATGCCCAAAAGCCAAATTGATGCCGTGGACGATGCTGCCACAGATTCTTCCACTGCTGCTGCTGCTGCTGCTGCTGCTGCTGTTGTTGCTGCCTCCGCGGTGAAGCAATTTACAGCCGCCGCACGGCGTTGCCACTTGGTGTGGGGTTGCAGTTGCACGCACCGGCTCCCCCTTGCTGATAATTTTTTTTTCAGTAGCTCGCCTTCTTGTTGCACATATATTTTTTGGGGTATATAATTTTTATATACAATATAAATTCTTTCCGTTTTTTGTGTGGATGCGGCGGCACACAAAAGGCAAAAGTGCAGGCAAATTTTGTTGTTGTTGTTGTTGTTAATCTTTTTGTTGATGATTTTGTATGTCGTTTTTCTTTTTGTAGCAGATTTATATATACATATATTCAGATATATATGTATGTGGAGCACAAAGTAAATAATATGCAGCGCGTGAAAATTTCACGAGACTTTTTCTTTCGGGATTTTTTTTATATTTTATGTTCAATTTACAACAGACAGCGCCAATTGTTGGTGTTGCTGGTTGTTGTTGTTGCTTGTTGCACTTTGTGTTGTTGTAGATTTTTTGACAGTTGTTGCCACGCTGCTGAAGTTGCTGCTGCTGCTGTTGCTTTTGTTGCTGGTTGTTGTTGCAATATTAATTATTTCAATTATTATTTTTCCTGCATTTAATTTTGCGCTCTCTTTGATATGTTTTATTATTTAAAACTTTTTCTCTTTTATGTATTTTTTGTTTGAACCTTTCTTTTCATCTCTTATATTTAAAAATAATTCAAAAGTAATGGCGCTACTTTTCTAATTATTTTTTAGTTCTTGCTGTTTTAATTTTAATATTTTGTTGTTTGTTTGTTTGATGGGATTGCACTTTTTGTTTTGTTTTGTTTTGTATATTGTATTTAATTCAACATAAATTTACTAACAAAAATGTTGTTGTTGCTGCTGTTGTTTTTTATCTAAATGGTGAAAATGGAGGGGAAAACGTTGTTGAAAAGAGATCTCATTCATGACAGATACACTAATGAATGAAATGGTGAAATCTTTGAGATAAATTTTGTATCTGTTTGAGTATTTGAGCTATTTTAAGAATCCTAAGAATTCGTGCGTGATTTATCGCAGATTGGTAGCATTTTTTTATATACAGTTTCCTTCGATAAGATTTTAGGTTTTTGATTTTTATTGGAATTTACTCGAACGCCGTATTGCAGAATGCAGAAAAAATGAACTCTGTAGATGGCCAAAATGAAATTAGCCAACGGAAAGCAGTAACCACCCACCCCCTGCAGCAGCATACACTTTCAGGCAGGATGAGGGGGTCTGTGTGCCCCAACCCGCTTCAACAAGAGTTGAGCTTAAACAAAAAAACTTTATGCCAGCGAAAAATGCGAATAAAAAATGTATATAAAATATATATAGAATCGCATGGCCAAAAAAAAATCACCAAAAAAAACCATTGTAAATAGTAATTTAAGTTTTGGAAGGGGCAGGATGGGGCAAGAGGATGTTTCCAAAAAAAAAAAAATGCTGGGAAAAATCCAACCCGAAACGGAAGGTGAGAGCCAAGGAAATAAGAAAAATCAAATGGCTGAAGCCCATGCCACGGCTCTAGCCCCCTGCCAAGCTGCAGTTTGGTCATCTGCGATGGTTATGGGGGGTACTCCGGTTTTGGTTAGGGATATTCCAATTGATGCTGCGCTGCTGCAGCGCTGCTACGTAATTTTTTTTCGGCTATTTAATTTGCCATTTTTTTTGTTTTTTGTTTTTTGGATGGTTTCTTTCTACTGCGTGTTTTTTTTTTCGTTTTATGTTCTCTCTTAGTTTTTGTTCATTATGCTGTGTGCCCGAAGCCCCGACGGCAAAACTGGAGACCGAGAGACCTGGCCATTGTCATGGTGGAAGACTGTCCCAGGAATGGGTTTGGCGGTTGGATACTGGATGGAGGGCGGAAGGGGCGCCTGACGAAAATTGAAACTGACAAAAATTTGTTACATTTGCCTGCTGCACAGGAAAGTTGGCAGCCCCGAACCCCACCTCCAAAAAAATACACACTTTATTACAGCTACTGCTCCATCTCCATCTTCATCTACTTCTAGTCTTTCCTTTTTGTTCCCGTTCTCTCCCTTTTTTTCAACTGCTGCTTTGTTTGTTTTGTTTTACTGTTGCTTTTGCTGCTGCTGCTTTAGAAGTTTCAGTTTTGGCTACAGTTCATTTTGTCTGCAGCTGGCTATGTGGCATTCTTTTTTTCTCGAGGAGTTTCTTTTGTTTCATAATTTTTTTAGAATTATTCAGCTATTTTTCAATAATTTTGCAATGTTTTTGGATGTTAAAATGTATTTTTTTAAGGATATTGGTGCAACTAATGGAGTGAACATAATTTAAAAAAAAAGGTTTTAAAGGTTTTTATAGGGTTTTCAAGTTTATTTGATGTGTGTTTTGTCTTGGGATTTTTATATTGTTTATTTTGAATATATTTTTGCAGCGTTTATATTTCAATGGGTTTTTACACTTAAGGAAATTATATTCTTTTTGTACATATGCATATATGTATGTATTAGGAATACAAAAACCGATCATATATAAATTGTTTTGCTATTATGTTTTGGAACGTATTTTATTAAATAATTTTCAACTTCCAATGTATTTAATTAAACTATTTTAAATTTTTTAACTTTTATTTAAACTTTTATTCGTAGCTAAAGTTTTTTAACATATCGTTTGATTTTTTTTTAAATTTAATTTTTATGCTTTTAAACACTTTCACAGCTTTCAAATTTTTGTTAGCTTTGTCTAGTTTTCTTTTCCGTTAAAATGTTACCAAACATTCTTTCGATTTGCTTTTGTTTTCACCGGTGGTACGGGTACAGTGACCACTAATAGTATATACAGGGACACACACACACACACAAAGTCAGGCATCAGTCAAACAGTCAGTCAATCAATCAGTCAGTATGGGAGGCAACACGCACTTGAGCCGGGCAATGCAACTATTCAACCAAAAGACCGAAATAAAAATGCATTCTATAAAAATTTTGCGAGTGCGCGAAAAAAACTTTTCCGCATTTTGCATGACAGCAGCGACGTCGACTGCGGACGGACCGCGGCGTGGCGTCAACGTCAGCGTCGCCACACTCTCGCACACACGCACACACACACGCACACATAAAGAGAAATAAGCGTAGATGAGACAAGCGGCGATTGCCATGATATTATTGTTGTTTTTTGTCCGAAAAAAAAGTCAAACAAATGAGCGGGATTGATGAGTGGGTGGGTGGACGTTCGTTGGATATGGAGGGGGAAGCTGATGATGATGGGGCACTGGGCAGTGCGTGAAGTCAGTGGATGGGTGGCTGTGTCTCCAGTGTGCGTATGTGCCTCAAATGGAGTGTGACCAATGCAGATAGGGTGGACAAAAAAACATTGGTGACGACTGACCAAAGCGTGGACTGGCCCAAAAATGTACGATGAGTGTGATCATGTGATTTTCCCTATATAAATTATTTAAATCATCGCTGATGCACTGCTGTGGCGGTAGCTAAAAATGTTTCCAAAAGATGATGTAGACTCAAAAGTTTTCCCAAAACTTTGAAATTGTAGGGCTTCTAGATTCTAGTTTTCACACGCTGATGCTGATTAGTGTGACCAACGATTCGATTGCCCAAAAATTAGCGACACTCGCGCGGCGTATACGCAATTCACAGCCACTGGCGAAGATTTCCATTCTGTTGTTTAATTTTGTTCCCAAAAACATACGTTCACAAAATTTGAAAGTTTTCATCACTCCACTTGGTTTGTGGTTCTTCTTAGCTTGAAAAGAATTCTCTTCAAATATGTATATTTTTCTTTAATATTTGTTGGTAATTTTAGGATTTTTAATCACTTTTTATGGTTTGTTTTTTCTTATAATATCTGGTAACTTTTCGGTTTATCAATGCCAAATAATTTTCGGGGTGTGCAAAACGATTTTCGTGTGGCCTGATGGCCTGCGTGTAAATGGGCAATGCGCTTAGTGCTTTACGATTGATATACGCGATCGGGCGGACGCTACACCTCGGAACGACTCGGGCCGCGTCCGAAAATGCGTTCCGTTGCATATCGGATGCGTTGTGTTTATGCGACTGCCGCAGCCGACTGCAAAATTATATCACAACAACACACGAAGACACACGGAGCCACGGCGCTGGCGTTGGCGCTGGCGTCGACGTTGCCGCCGCACGTTCAAAAATTGCATACAAGCGCATTCGGACTCGACAGAAGCAAAAAAAAAAAACGCAAGCAGCAACTACAACAAAGCTAGAATACTGAGAGAGCTTGGCCAGAATGAGAGATAGAGGGAGAGAGAAACAATGAGTGAGAATGAGAGCTGGAGGGGAGGCTCTGAGTGAGAACAAATTCATACTGCATGGAGAGCATTTTGAGTCATTTGAGTAAAGCGCATACGCGAAAACTTTAGGAGCAATGGGGTAAGACGAGGAACAGGCCTGGACCTGAGCTGGAGAGCGAGAGGGGTAAAATATATAGTCTGACACTCAGGTAGTTCTATAGAGAGAGGGTATGAGACGTTGCTAGAACCTGAGTCTGAGTCCCAGCCATAGCTAGAGAGAGCTAACCTGAACGAGAACCAGAACCAGAGAGCGAGCCTTAGCCTGAGAGAGCAAGCTACAGCTTGAGAGAGCAAGCCAGATAGAGAGTGCAGAGCAAGTGCAGTAGCGGCAGCAGCAGCAGCAGGGCAATGAAATTGCAGCGAGCAACTCGACTTCGATGCCAGCGCGCGTTGATAAAAAGCCAACAGCCGACTGCGCGCTCAGCTGCCAAAATAGCCGGCGTCGATTCGGTTTTGGCTTCGGATTCGGTTGTTCGGCTTTGTCGGTTCTAGAAGACCGACCCCGGTCTCCCATGCTCTCTCTTTAAGCTTTTGACATTGTTGACAATTGTCCTAAGAAATGTGGCTTACAATTAACACACTCGCACACACACACACACACACACACACACATACACAACCCTAAAAGAAAAGTCACTCAAATTAGTTGCTCTACCAAACACACACACACACACATCTAAGTTCTTGTCTAGAACAAAGCCAGTACAAAGTCATATGAAGACACAAACACATTGAAATAATCATCTCGCAAATTTATTCACCACATTTTTTTGTGCCACTCACGCACACTGTCAAAGAAATGCATTTCTGCTGCTGCGCTGTCACCGTCGACGTCGCAGTCACAGCAATTAGCTGCGTTTTTTTTTGTTTTGTGTTGAGAGGGGGGTAATGTTGGGTAGGGTTAGGGGTGACGAGTTTGAGAGAGGGGTGAACAGGGAAGGGAGCTGTTGACGTTGACGTCGCGACGTCTCTAGGGCCCTCTCGTCTGCTCGGGAGGTGAAAGGGGAATAGCCAAGAAATTATTGTTTCTAAATAGAGTTACAATTATTTATTTTATTTCTTTATATATATCAAATTCTGTTTTCCAGTTTATTTAACTCTCTTTTCCCAAAGAAGGGAAGTCCCGTATTTATGTCAAATAATGATTAAACGAAACTATAAGTATATTAATCTGCATAATGCGCTCTGGTTTCCCCGTTTTTGGAAGCAAATTAATGAAGAAGGGGGGGACCCCAAAAACTCACTCATCGACAATAATCCACCAAATGAGCTTGAGAAATTGCATTTCCTGCTCATTAACAAGGAGGGGCCCG